GCACAGCCAAAAAATAAACAAAGAAGAAAGAAATCAGGGACTTCCCTGGTGGTGCAGCGGTTAAGCATCGCCTGCCAATGCAGGGGACAAGGGTTCCAGCCCTGGTCTGGGAAGGTCCCGCATGCTGCAGAGCAACTAAGCCTGTGCACCACAACTACTGAGCCCACGCTCTGGAACACTCGAGCCACAACTACTGAGCCCATGTGCCACAACTACTGAAGCCCGTGTGCCTAGAGCCCGTGCTCTGCATCAAGAGAAGACACCACAATGAGAAGCCCACGTACCGCAACTGAGAATAGCCCCTGCTCACCGCAACTAGAGAAAGCCCATGTGCACCAACGAAGACCCAATGCAGCCCAAAATTAAAAAAATAAATTAACTTTAAAAAAAAAGAAAGAAATCAGCAAGAGATAATGAGTAACATATTTGAAATGCAGCAAAGAAACTGTCAACCAAGATTCTTACATCCAGCAAAACTTTATTTTTTTATCCTGGCTGCACAGCTTGTGGAATCTTAGTTCCCCAACCAGGGACTGAACCCGGGCCCTCAACAACGAGATCGTGGAGTCCTAACCACTGGACCACCAGGAAATTCCTGCAAAAATTTTTTTTTAAAACAAGGGCAAAATAGAGACATTTCCAGATAAAAAAGAACTGGGAGAATTTCTTGTTAGCAGACCCATCTTACAGGGAATACAAAAAATAAGTTCTTTATGATGAAAGAAAGAGACATCAGGCAATAATTATAATCCACTTGAGAAAAACAAAAAGTATAGGTAAAGGTAATTATGTAGGTAATTATAAAAGACAGTATATGTGCGTAGTTCTTCTCCTTTCCTCTCTTAACTGATTAAATAATTAAGTTAGTATAAGTCTGAAGTAGATTCTGGTAAGATGCATATCATAAGCCTTAGAGCAACCACCAAGAAAATAATATAATATAATGTGATATAATGTAGTATACACACACACACACACACACACATACATATGTATGTGTGTCTATATATATATATTTAAGGCTCATTAAAGGAATTAAAATATTACACTAGAAAATGTTCACTTAATACAAAAGAAAGCAGTAAAGAAGGAACAGTTGGGGGTTAGGGTAGACATGAGGATAGAAAACAGAAGCTGAAATGGCAGGTGTGAATCTAAACATATCACAATAACATTAAATGTGAATGAATTAAACAATCCAATCAAAGGGCAGAATTGCCAGAATGAGTTTTTTTAAACGATCCACTATATGCTGTCCACAGGAGACGTACTTCAGATTCAAAGATACAAAGAAGTCAAAAGCAAAGTGGAAAAAGATATGCCATACAAACAGCAATCATAGGAGATCTTCAGTAGCTACACTACTGTCAGAAAAAAATTGACTTTAAAACAAAAACATCACTAGAAATGAAGGAAAATTTTATAATGATAAAAGGGCCAATCTATCAGTATGATAAAACGATAAACATATGCACCTAACAACAGTGCCCCAAAATATAAAAAGCAAAAACTGACAGAAGTGAAAAGAGAAACAAATAATCTAAAGGTAGCTGAAGATTTCAATACACACTTTTAGTAACAGACATAACAACTAGACAGAGGAAAAAGGGAAGAGGAGACCTGACCACACTACAAACCTAACAGACACCCCTCCACCTCCACCTAACAGCAGAATATACATCGTCCTGAAGTGCACATGGAACGTTCTCTAAGAGAGACCATCAACCAGGCCATCAAACAAGCCTCAATTTTAAATGACTGGAATAGGGACTTCCCTGGTGGTGCAGTGGTTAAGAATCCACCTGCCAATGCAGGGGACACAGGTTCAATCCCTGGTCCAGGAAGATCCCACATGCTGAGGAGCAACTAAGCCCGCGCGCCACAACTACTGAGCCCATGCTCTCGAGCCCGCAAGCCACAACTACTGAGCCCGTGTGCCACAACTACTGAAGCCCACATGTCTAGAGCCTGTGCTTCACAAAAAGAGAAGCCACTGCAATGAGAAGCCCGCGTGCCACAACAAAGAGTAGCCCACGCTCGCCCCAACTAGAGAAAGCCCGCAAGCAGCAACAAAGACCCAATGCGGCCAAAAATAAATAAATAAATACATTTGGGCTTCCCTGGTGGCGCAGTGGTTAAAAGTCCGCCTGCCGATGCAGGGGACGCAGGTTCGTGCCCCAGTCCGGGAAGATCCCACATGCTGCAGAGCGGCTGGGCCCGTGAGCCATGGCCACTGAGCCTGCGCGTCCAGAGCCTGTGCTCCGCAATGGGAGAGGCCACAACAGTGAGAGGCCCGCGTACCGCAAAAAAATAAATAAATAAAAATAAATAAATAAATACATTTTTTTAAAATATAAAATAAAATAAAATGACTGGAATAATACAAAATATGTTCTCCAACTACAATGGAATTAAATTAAAAATCAATAACAGAAGGAAATTTGGGGGATTCACAAATATGTGGAAATTAAACAACAAACTCAAAAATAACAAATGAGTCAAAGAAGAAATCCTGAAGGAAATTTAAAAATATTTTAAGACCAAAATGCAAACAGAAACACAACATACCAAAACTTACAGGATGCAGCTAATGCATTCCCTACAAGGAAATTACGGCTGTAGACGCTATATTTAAAAAGAAGATCAACTGGGCTTCCCTGGTGGCGCGGTGGTTGAGAGTCCGCCTGCCGATGCAGGGGACACGGGTTCGTGCCCCGGTCCAGGAGGATCCCACATGCCGCAGAGCGGCTGCGCCCGTGAGCCATGGCCGCTGAGCCTGTGCGTCCGGAGCCTGTGCTCTGCAATGGGAGACGCCACAACGGTGAGAGGCCCGCGTACCGCAAAAAAAAAAAAAAAAAAAAGAAGAAGATCAACTATACGTCAACTTAAAAAAAGAAGAAATACCTCATCAATAAATTAATTCTATCTTAAACTAAAAAAAAAAAGCAAACTAAACCCAAAACAAGCAGAAGGAAAGAAATAATAAATACTAAAGTGGAAATAAATAGGGACTAGAAAAACAATAGAGAAAAATCAACAAAACCAAAAGTGGGCTCTTTGGGAAAAAAAACCCAATTAAATGGACAAACCTTGAGCTGGAAGAACCAAAACAAGAAGGAGAGAGAAAGGGAGGAGAGTCAAATTACTAAAGTCAAGAATTAAAGAAAGATCATTACCACCAACTGTACAGAAGTCAAAAAGATTATAAGGGAATACCAAGAACAATTATATGCCAACAAATTAAATAACAGATTAAATGGACAAATTCCAAGAAAGAACTTCTATTGAAACTAACTCAGGAAGAAATAGAAAATCAGAATAGATCTATAACAAGTAAAAGACTGAATTAGTACTTTTAAAACTTCCCACAAAACGCCCAGGCCCAGAGAGTTTCACTGGATAATTGTACCAAACATTTAAAAGAATTGGTGAACTTGCAACAAGCAGTAAATAAGCCCCACAGATCTAATGCACAGTAGAGTGAATACAGGTAACAACACTGAATTATAATCATCAAACTTGCTAAGAGACTAAGAGTAATTATTCCAACTACTAAAAAAAAAAAGATAATTATGTAACATGATAGAGGTGTTCATTATCACTCCATGGCTATCATATCACAGTATATACATGTATCAAATTAACATATACACATTTAACTTACATAATGTTATATGTCAAATATATTTCAATTAAAACATTTTAATTAATAAGGAATTGATAGCAAAGTCTTAAAATTAAAAAAAATAGAAGAGGAAGGAACACTTCCCATTCCTAACTTACTTTATAAAGCCAGTTCTATCCTGATACTAAAACCAGTCATCACAAGAAGAAGGAAAAAAAGAGACCAATATTTCTTACGAATACGGACACAAAAATTCTCCACCTAATACTAGCAAACAGAACCTAGCAACTTATAAAAGGATTATACATCATGATCAGATGAGATTTATCCCGAGAATGCAAGGCTGGTTCAGCATACAAAAATCCATCAATGTAATACACCGTAAAAGCGGAATAAAGGACAAAACCATGCGATCACCTCAACAGACACAAAAAGCATCTGACAAACTTAAATATCCTTTCATGATGGAAAAACCCAACAAACTCAGAACAGAAGGGCACTTGCTCAACCTGATAAAGGGCATCTCTGTAAAATCCACAGCTAGCATAATACTTAATGGTCAAGGACTAAATGCCCTCTCATTACAATCAGGAACAAGACAAGCACACCTGCTCTCCCACTTCTGGCCACAGGGCTATTAGGCAAGAAAGAGAAATGAAACGCATCCAGATCGGAGAAGAAGGAGTAACACTACCTCTATCTGCGGGTAACAGAATCTTGCATATAGAAAAGCCTCAAATATCCACTAAAAAACGATTAGAATAAATAAGTTCTGCAAAGTTGCAGGACACAAGATCAATATGTGAAAATCAATTTTATTTCTACAAAGAAACAATGAGCAAACCAAAGTGAAATCAAGAAAACAATTCCATTTACCACAGAATCAAAAAGAATAAAATACTTTGGAATAACTTGAACAGAAGAATTCCAAAACTTGTGTTCCGATCATTTCTCTTTCTTTCCACCTCTCCATGCCCCTCCCTCCTCTCCCCCCTCCCACACACGCAGGAAATGGGCAGGTTTCTAGGAGCTACTTCATGCTCGAAAACAGCAGGTGTGGCTGGTTAGCTGGCTGGAGCCTCGGCCACACTGGGTGGATGATGTGCATGCAAGGTGAGGATGCGGCACAGGTGGGAGCAGAGACAGACAGGGACGAGCTGCAGAGGAGGAAGCTCATGCAGCGTGGTACCTACCCAGATGTGACCGCCCTGGGGGGGGCTCATGCAGTGTGGTACCTACCCAGATGTGACCGCCTGGGGGAACTCATGCAGCGTGGTACCTACCCAGATATGACTACCTGGGGGGGGGGGCTCATGCAGCGTGGTACCTACCCAGATGTGACCGCCTGGGGGGGCTCATGCAGCGTGGTACCTACCCAGATATGATCGCCTGGGGGGGGCTCTGGCTTCATCTTTATTATCTGCAGCTACATTTAAAGACAGAGAGAGAGAAAACAGGAAGGAAGAAGAGACAAAAACAGACTGGTTTTAACACTGGTAAGTCCTTGTTGTATTTCTTTAAAAAAAACCCAAAAAACAATGGAACAGGAAGACAGCAAGCTTTTGGTTTCTGTGCATTAGGAAATACACTTTCTGAACCATTTTTCTCCAAACCTACCCTCCTCCAAATAAGTGCTTGGGACAGAGGGAAAAAAATGAAAAACCACCTCATTTTCATTTAATTTCTAAGGTCAGAGGTGCTGACAGAGATACAGCAGACCCTACTTCTACTTTCCCCTGGGAACTCATCTGTACGCAAGCCCTGGTTGCAAGACAGTTGTCTCAGGGTCCAAACTCTCCGAAGGTTGCTCAATAGAGCTATTTTCAGAGGACACTCAACAGGACTCCCGCCGTAAACGGAGAGCTAGCTCAGCACGTGAACTTGACCGCCCTCGGACATCACACCCAGTCAGGGAGCAGGTCTGGCAGCTGTCTCCACTGTGGCCCAGGAAGGAGTACCTGACCCAGTGTGCGACAATTCGACTGCCAGGTACCTTGCCCCTCCGAGCACCCCACCCCACCTGAGACCTCCCTAGTCTGGGCCACCCCAGGACAATGACCGACTGACCTACCGACCAGAGGCCCTGAAGACAGAGCGCCTCCAGCTGGGTTCCACCTGCAGGTGGGGCCTGGGACGGACGGTAGTTAAAGAGAAGAGTCACTGAGGTCAGAAAGCAGAGGCAAGACCAAAGGTCGTGTGTCACCTGCCCCAGGCCATGTTCACTCTACCCCAAAATGGAAATTTTGCATGTAATCAACTACAAGCAAACACCAGACTTGCTGCCTAGACGGGAGGAGCTGGGGGGTCGGGGCAGGGGGAGTGGTTTATAAACCACAAATTGCAGGCTCCTCTCCGCACCCCACCCCTCTCCCCAACACCCCCTCCTGGACCTTCTGGGTTCTGACCCCTCGGAGTTGGTCAGATTCTCTCAGCTTTTTGCTTCTATTTCTTTGATTCAGACCAATTTCACCATTCATGGGCACCTCCTCTACAGATCAAAATCCCAAAAGACGGAAGGAGGGGAGAGGAGGGAGGCTGTAGGAGAGAGCGCTCAACTCAGTTACTTGTGCGTTTCAGACACCGTTTCCCTTCTCCTCTCCAGGCCTGATCACACTGAGCTGACGAGCAGAGCTTCGCACATGCAGAAGCACCGGGCATGGCTGGGAGACGCACAGAGTGCGCGGGTGCAGAGCTGGGGGTCGGCAAGCAGAGGGCTGGGTAAGTTGGGTGGGAAGGTCACATCCCTGTGTACTGCGCCAAGCTGCCTAAGGTTCCTTGGCTGGAAAGCAACATGATCAGATCTACGTTTTAGAAAAGACACCTTTGCATAGGACAGATGGAGGAAAGTGGGCTCTGAAGCTGAGAGACGCTAGAAGTGTTTTCAACAATCATGTGCTTCCACAGAGCTGTACTGAGGACACACTCCAGGCCAGGCACGAAGGTTCCAAAACAACTGCACTGGGACTTCCCTGGTGGTCCAGCGGTAAAGAATCCGCCTTACAGTGCAGGGGACACAGGTTCAATCCCTGGTCAGGGAACTAAGATCCCACATGCCACAGGGCAACTAAGTCCACATGCCACAACTGGAGAGCCTGCATGCTGCAAACCACAGAGCCCATAAGCCCTGGAGCCTGCGTGTCACAACTAGAGAAGAGAAAACCCACACGCCACAACTAGAGAGAAGCCCGCACACTGCAACGAAAGATCCCGCGTGCCTCCACGAAGATCCTGCGTGCCGCAACTAAGACCCGACGCAGCCAAAAATAAATAAATAATAACTGGATCTTTAAAAAAACACACGACCACACTGTCCTCAGAACCTCCCCTCCCCCACCAGGAGGCGGGTCTTTGCCCCCTTGACCATGGGTGGGCCTGAGACTGCAGGTCTTCAGAAGTGATGCTGTGTGAGTTCCAAGACTAGATCTTTAAAAAGATACAGCGTCCACCCGGTTCTCCCCTTGAAACTCAGCGCCACCTTGTGAGGAAGCCCAGGCCACATGAGGAGGCCACGCAGGGATGTTCCAGCAGAGCCCGGCTGAGGTCTGGCCAACAGCCAGCACCAACCCAGACACATGAGAGAGGAGTGAAAGAGAGAGACAGAGACACAGAGAGAGACAGAGACAGAGGGAGAGACAGAGCAAGAGACAGAGAGCTAGACAGAGAAAGAGAGGGTAAGGGGGAGAGACAGTGAGAGGGAGAGACAGAGAGAGAAAGGGGGGGAGGGAGAGAGTGAATGAGACCGTGACAAAGGAGCTCGAGCAAACAGCCGAACTGTGGAGTCCTTTCACGTCATCAAGTTTTGGGGTCACTCGTCGAGCAGCCCCAGAGCCAGGAACCAGAGATGACAAGGCAGAAGTTCCAGCAGAGCTGAGACGGGAGAGTCAGCCTCTGGTGGCCAGCAGGAGGCTGGGGGGTGGACCAGAGGCAGGCCCTCAACTGCCCCAGGGGCTTTAGTCCTGTCACACTTTGAGACTCACTGCTGGGGGCACCTTGGAGAGACCACGCGGGGGCAACGGTGCCTGCGTGTGGTGGAAGGGATGACGGCTACAGGGGGACCGGGGGACCGGGAGACCAGGAGGAGTATTATCACGGTGGTCCAGGCAACACGGGAACAGGAGACCCTGTGTCAGCTCCAGGGCAGTGGGCTGAACTGAAGCAGGATCGTAGCCTGATGTCCGAGGACACAACGGAGCCCTTGAAAATGCAGGACGGTCTGTGGATAAACATCTTCCTGGGCAAGGGGGTGTCCTCAGCTTTCAATCTCAGGATGGTACGTGACCCTCCACACCCAACGTGTTTTTACAGCTTTACTGAGCTGTAACTACACACCATAAAAAGTCGCTCTCCCAGTGGTGTGGAGGATGCCCACAGGTGTGTGGTGCAGCCACCACTGCTACGGTATTTTAGAACTTGCATCACCTCACAGGAAACCTGTCCCCTTCAGCAGTCACCCCTCCTGGCCACCTCCCCAGCCAATGCCACCCCAGTGCTGAGATGTGGGGCAAACCTCAGGTGAGTTCACGCCTGCAGCCGGTTGGTGATGCACCCATCGGGAGGCACTATTCTTAGTGACAGTACAACACGGGAATCTGGCGGGAGGAGCGTGTGGCCCTGAGGATCCCCGAGGAAGCAGCTTCTCAGCAGCCTCGCTGTCGGCGGCCTCATGACGGAACCTGGCCAGGAGCCACGAGGGAGGCGCCTGGTGGAGACGCCACGCTCTGTTATTCTTGGGTCCCTGGGCTGCAGTGGGAAGATCAGAGCCGACCAGGGCCCCGTGAAAGGCCAGCCTGGGAGGGGGCACTCTGTCTCCTGGGAAACCTCCAGACCAGGCTCCTCGGACACCTGGCTGACTGCAGGTCTGGGGCAGGAAACTGGACAGCACGCTCAGAGCATCTTGTCGCCCCAGTGTCCGGGGTCCACAGGACCAAAGGTCAAAGATCAAGAGCCGGCGGCAGGGCTTCCCTGGTGGTGCAGTGGTTGAGAGTCTGCCTGCCAATGCAGGGGACACGGGTTCGAGCCCTGGTCTGGGAAGATCCCACATGCCGCGGAGCAACCAAGCCCGTGCGCCACAGCTACTGAGCCTGCGCGACTGGAGCCTATGCTCCGCAACAAGAGAGGCCACGACAGTGAGAGGCCCGCGCACCGTGATGAAGAGTGGCCCCCGCTCGCCGCAACTAGAGAAAGCCCTCGCACAGAAACGAAGACCCAACACAGCCAAAAATAAATAAATAAATTAATTAAAAAAAAAAAAAGAGCCGGCGGCAGAGGCTCCCACTGGCCAGAGGTGGGTAAAGGGGCTTCCACCTCATGAAACACAGGATAACGTACAAACAAATGTGCTCATCGCTGCAAGGTGCTGGGAACCAATTTTGAAAAGAGGCAAATATAGGCCTTCACCTGCCTTCCTTTACAAATCAAACCGTCAGAAGACCAAGTAGCGTTTGTGGGGAAGTTTCTCTACAGAAGCTGAGACGGCGGAGCCTCAGGGCTGGTGGCCGAGGGCTGACTGTCAAGACTGGGCCCTGGGCCCCCGTGGCTGCCACCACCCAGAGGGGCCAGCTGACAGCCACACCTCCCAGAGGAAGGACGCAACAGTCCTGCAAAGACAAAGGGCCAGACCTGGGTCCAGTTATCTTTTAAAATGTTCTCTGCAGGGCGTCCCAGACAGACCTGGTTCAGCAGCCCGATTCCGTCCAGATCCCGTGGGCCTGACTCGCTCTGAACACTGCTGCTGGTCTGCTGACCCTGTGCTGGGCGTGCAGCGCTCAGCTCACAGCAAATGACCCGTTTCAACAACAGATAAGTTCCAAGGAGAAAGGGGAGTTAGGGAGAACCTATAGATTAAAAAGACAAATCAACAACAAAAAGACACCAGCCAATCACAGTGTGTGCTGCATCCTGATTTAAGGAAACAAACTGGCCAAAAAGTCAGGAAACGGACAAGACAGCTGGAAAGTCACACACAGATGGTGGTTTCATGATAAGGAACCATTGATTTCTTATGGGTGACGATTTCTTTAGAGATACGTTACAGACTATCTATAAAGAGGCTACATCTGGGATTTGCTTCAGAAACTGCAGGAAAAAGACGTGAACGGGGTCTGGAGGTGGTTATGGTGCCACACGGAGCTCCGTTATGCTACTCTCCCTACTTCTACGTGCTTGAAATTCTCTACAATAAAAAGCGAAAAAGGAAAAACACAGCACCTTCGAGACGGACACCACACTTCACTCCTAGTTCACAGTTAAACATCAGGCGCATATTAGTGTCTCCAGCCAATTCCTCCCTGAAACACGTGGTCTCGGTGGATGCCATTTCACCTGGGACAACCCGAGGAGGGGGACCCACACCCCTGGCCCTGCCCCCACTACACACAAGGGCATGGAAAAGCTGCCAGTGGAAAGAGAGGTTTGAAAACGTTTGATCCTAATTTTGAAAATGATCCCAATTTTGTGATAGGAGACTAACAAAGAGAAAAGAAAAAAATGGGAAACTATAGCACGATGTTCAAAGCAGTCACCGCTGGGTGGCGGGATGGAAGGTGTTTTACCCTTACTGTATATCCTGTCTTCCCTAAAATGTCTACAATGAGCACATGCTGCTCTTCAGATAACAAGTTAGATATTTAATTTTCTAAGTAACCTGCTTTTTCTCCTCACCACCATCTATGTTTCTTTAACCTTAACTTTCAAGTTGAATTAGTGACCTTCAAAACTGCAAACCTCTATAAAAGATAGCTGGAAAATATTTAAGCTTTTTTTTAGGCTGCCTGGCCATCCTATGAGAACCCGTGAAACAAAGCTCCCCAGACTCTCCTGGAGAGTTACTGTAATGTGCATGGTCAGCTCCCCAAGAAGTCTGTGTCCCGAGGCCTCGGCCGACACGTCGGGAAGCGGAGGCCAGCCACCTGCCACGGAGGGTGGGGGGAGAGACGGGGGCCGCGGCACAGCGGCCCACGGGCTCTCAGAGCTTCCAGGCCCGAACCGCTCGGCTTCTTCACAGCCCACCCGCCTACTTCTGGCAAATGAGAGGAAATAAACCCACACATTCATTAAAAGCTTCCCACAGTGCGGTGGTGAGACCTGTGTGTCTCATAAACAGTAGACACGGAAACATGTAAACCGATCTGGACTCAAGTGTTGAATGCTCAGACGCTCAGCCGGTGTGGGCGGAGCTTAGGAGACGACTCTCCCTGAGGCCGCAGGGGACCCAGTGGGGGAGGGCCGGGGTCAGGAGGGGGCCCAGAGGTCAGGAGGCACGGTCCTCCCTCCACCAGGGCCGGCGTGCACCAGCAGACCGGCCATCACCGTGAGCTGCTATCAAATGTCCAACGTTAAACTCTAAGTTTGCCGCGTGACCCAGAGGCCTCAACACCTGCTGTACCTGGCACCCTCCGCCTTCACGACCCACGCACAGTTTCAAACAAGGTCACAAGCCTGGTCTCCCGCTGCAGAGCCTGAGGGGCAGGACCAATACGCCACCAGGGCACCGGGTGTCCTCTCCAGGCCTTCCGCCCGCCCTGGGTGAAGACACACACTGACCACCCCACGCGGCCCACTCTGCACTCGGCTGTGAGATCCTGCACCCATTAAAGGGGAGGCTCGAAAGGGCACAGACCACAGAGGGCAGGGGCAGAAGCCGCTTGGGCAGAAAGCCCTCGACTCAGAGAAAGTTAAGAGCCAGCTCCTCAACTCATGAGGGGTCCAGGGTCCAGAAGCCCTGCTTTCTAGGCAAGAGCAGCGGTACAAGCGGCACCACCTCTGGTGGATCTCCTGAGTCACAGCTGGGAGGATGGCGTTAACGGGACAGAAAAAGCAAAAACACACCGGAAACAGACAGTGGCGGGTGATCCTCTTCATCATCTCAGTGACCCTAACTGATCCAGGCTCCTCATCGGAGCTGAGGCTGACCCACTTCTACAAAGACTGAAGTTAGCACACACTCACTCTCACTCTAGAAACAGAAGCTACACAAGAGGAGAGGAGTCCCTCAAAGGGAGAGAAAATAACCACCAGGGAAAAAATAGCTGGGCAAGACCTCAAGTCTGCAGGAGTCCCAGAACTAAACAAACTCCAGAGAAAACGCTTCTCTAAGCAGTAGCTGAGATCGCACACACCCACATTCTCAGACAAAGTCGAAGGGGAGAGCGGGCTTAGACTTAGGCATTAGAAAAACCAGAAGTACGGCATCAACCCTCGTGCACAGAGAAGCCCACAGCCCGCGCGGTCGAACACAGAACATCGGCTTGAAAGAAACATTTCCAAAGGAGAAGGCAAAGCCAGCAGGAGCACCTTCTATCTTCTGAGCTGAGCGTGGGGCTCGCCTGCCCGAGCTCGTGGACCCCGCGTGCCCACCCGAGGCCCACAGAGCACGCCGCCGGGTGAATGTCTAACAAGGTATGTGAGAAAGATGCCGGCTGACTCAGCCACAGGGAATGGGAAAAACAGAGGCTGCGTTTGGTGCACAAGCCACACACAAGGTCAGAGATAAAACCGCCTCTGCAGGAAACATCTGGCTCCGGCCTGATCAGAAACAGACCAGCAGTGCCGCCCTCCTGCCCCAGCTGAGGGGCCCGCGTGACGACGGCCACGGCGAGGCACACGGCAAGAACAGGTCGTAACTCGCCCGAGTTCCAGCTTCACACGATACGGTGTCACCTGGCTGACTGCGAACACCGGTGTCGCGCCAGACGCTGCGCCACCTGGCGACGCCAGCGCTGCTGGGGTGGCACTGGTGGAGGCCCCCCACCCTGAGAGCTCCAGCCGAGCCTTGCTCGTCGAGTCACTGGGCTTCATCCCCACAGCTGCGGGTCACCAACCTGCAAAGACCCGGCGCTTCAGGTTCAGCTCGTTGGCCACGCGGACCTCGGTGCAGAGCTTCAGCATCAGCAGCATGGTCAGGATCATGACAACGCTCTGCCAGAGCAGCGGCGCCTCGAAGCGCCTCCCGAACCTGCGGGGGAAGGGCCGCGGCGTCAGGGGGCGCTGGCCGGGCCTCCGATGCCACGCCACGGAGGCACGGAACCGGCCTCCCGAACCTGCGGGGGAAGGGGCCGCGGCGTCAGGAGGCGCTGGCCAGGTCTCCAGACGCCACGGTGGCACGGAGCCGGGATGCGGAGGGGCCGGGCGCCCCCCCCCCGACGGCCAGACCGGGCCTCCACCGCCCCCCAGAGCCGAGTCACGGGCAGGCTGCTCCTCGCGCTGCAGGCCCCCCCGGGAGCCGCTGCGACCCTCCCAGGGCCCAGGGCCGAGGGCCGGTGGGAGTGGGTCTCCTGCCCTCGCCCCCCCACCCCCGGTCCGGCCAGCTGACCGTCGCCCTCCTGCGGAGGCCCAGCCGCCACCAGGTGAGAAGCCCAGGTGCTGGAACACCTGCCTCCCCAGGGCTCGTTCCAGAGTCTGGAGACCGATGGCAGCCCTGGCCCCTGGCCGTGGGGAGTGGGGTCTGCAGGCCAGCACGGCCCCCAGTGTGAGCAGAGCAGTGGGGGGCCGGGCCACCCAGCCCTCACTGGAGAAGAGGAGACGGCAGGCAGGGCATGGTCCGCACTGCTAGCCTCAGGCCCTGATGCCCGACCAGGCCTGGCTGGCCCGCACGGACGCCTCCACGTCCACTCTCTTCTCTGAGCCCCAGCCTGCCCAGCCCTCCCAGCCACAGGCCCCAAGGCCTTCCTGCTGACTTTCCTCCAGTGTGTTGAGCATTTCAGCAGCTCGGCCAAGAGTTCCTGGAGGCCACAGCCACAGTCCAGTGAGTGGCACTGCTGGGCCCATCAGAAGACCCCGGCCCAGGGGCTGGTCACAGCACTGCCCTCCGCACACCAGCTGGGGTCTCAAACGTGGCCACCAGCATCACAGGACTGGCCTGCAGAACTGTCACCTCTAAGGCGAGGCCCGAGAAGAGCACCCTCAAAGCCCAGGCCCCCATCCTAGCCTGGCTGCTCCAGAGCACAGATCCCACTGGCACCAGCGGCAGCGCGGCCTGACGGGGCGTCCCCAACCCGAGTTAGTGGCCGACAGGTCACAGTCGGGAGGTCCTGGATGGCAGTCTGACCTCCAGCTTCTCCTGGAAACCAGGAGACACGGCCCGGCCCACCTCCCCTGGCCTCGCTCTCACACCCGCCCCTACAAGGAGAGGGTCACTGACAGCTGGCTGATGCGGCCACACACGCGCTCCGCCACAGGCTGGCTCTGGGGACCACGCTGCCCCCCGGCCTCCTCACTGTGCCCCACCACCTCCGGGCTTCACCTCTTCCGTAAAGTGCGGACACAACCCTACAGCTGCTTGAGGACGTTTCTAGCAGTTCTAGGAACTAGTCCCCACTGGTTACCTGACTGACCCCGGGGGGCTGACTAATCAACAGATAGTCCAGAGGAGAAGACAGAGAAGGTTCTGCGCCAGGCTGGGGAGACTGGAGCGGGCGGGCATCACAAAAAGTCAGTCTAGGGACCAAGCTCATTTCCAGTTAGTGACAAGGCTGAAGACACGGGGTGGGCCTTTATGTAATAAAGGCTACTTCCATTGTTTTCAACAGAAACAACGAGCGACTAGAAAAATGGTGGGGGGCGGGGGTGGGTGGGGGGGATGAAGGTTTGTGCTTCCCCTTATACCACACACCGAAAATCCAATCTAGGTAAATTCAGTATTTACAGTGAAGTAAGGGGGGCAGAGTGAACATTAAACTGCTTTTAGGGTGAAGACAGGCTGAACAAGACAGAAAATTTCAAAAAGCACAACTTTCCACAGAAGATACACAAGGGACAAAACAAATATGAAACAAAAGTTCAACATCATTAGTAATTTTTAAAAGCCAATTAAAATAGAAAGACACTATTTTTTACTTATCAAGTTACTTAAACTTCTGCCTTTAATGCTAATAGTCTGTGCCGGCAGAGGTGTCACCGGGCACCTCTCCCCCCCCCCCCCCCCCCGAGAATGCAGTTGGCAAAGCCTGGTCTGCAGCAGAGGACAGGACAGCCCAGCAGACGAGCGTGTGGCCTGCTGCTTGGAGCAGCCAGTGGAAGCGCCATCCCCCGGTGCAGTGCACATGTCTCGCTCCCAGGGAGACGCACACGGCAGAGAACGTGCACTGCCTCACCGAGCCTGAGCAAAAGCTCCCACAAGGAACACCTTCTAAGCGTCTTCAAAGTAGCAGAGAAAAGCTCGATTGGAAGAAAAGCTGTGTATCTACTTCCCTGACTGGCTTCTCGAGTAGCAGATTGTCACTAGCCCTCTGGTGCAGTGGCACCACATCTCCGATACCATTTTACTACACCCGCAATACAATGTCACCATGTCTCTCGTCTCCGGTACAGTGTCACCATATCTCTGATCAGATAGGGACGGGGCTGGAGAACTAGCTCTGTGAATGCCTCAGGCCCTGGGTCAGATGGCCCTGCAGCACCGTCCTTGCACCCTGGCCCCCTCCCTCCCCTTCTCATTTACAGAATCACTCCACCCTCTGGCTTCCGACACCACAAAGGCCAAATCCTGCACATCAGCATTTTGTATGATCTGCTCAATGCTGGTTCTGCAAAAGGATGGGAAGAATTGCAAGAAATAAAGGCATTAGAGTTCCGTGAGTTACAGAAACGCCAGGTTTCTACAGCTTGGTCAGCCTTCCCCCACCCCACCCCCGACCCCCAGGACTGCAGAGCTTCTCACACGCCTCACACCACACATTTCCCTGGGTGGCTTCCCAGGCAGACTGGAGTTCTGGAGACTGCATTCCCAGCCAGCTTTGGGAAACGTACTCTTCACTTCCTCCAAGTCCATCACTGCTCTCGTCCCACCCGGAGCCCACCACAGCTCCCAGCCGGTGCTCTCCCCCTCCCCACCACCCATCACCCATATACACGTGTCTGGCACGTTCCATACAGCACTTCTGCTGAAGCGTTAACCCTGCAGCACCTGCCCAGTGTCTGGCTCATGGGAAACCCTCAAAAACCTATTAAATCAAATGGGCTGCTAGGGGACCCAGGAGTAGGGGCTTTGGAGGCTCCAGAGAAAGGAAGGAAAGGGAGCACAGGCATCACCCTCAGAGCAGTGGGGCCTTGGGACCACGTGGGAGGAGACGCGTGTATTTGTTACAAGTCGTAGACGGAGCCCGGCCTGTCTGCTGGGCTTCACCACGTGAACTACAAAGTACTGCCAGGTGTGAAACACAGGGAAAGCACAACCCCAGGTCAGAGGGATCCTGGAGGAGAGACCTCTGCCAGCCCTCCCTTCTTCCCATAGGGTCCCACAGTCTTCTGGAATCCAGGCTGAGGGCAGCCCTGTGTGTTCACACAGCAGCCACTGAACTCACGGAGGGACCCAGGACAGCTCACGCAGCTGATGCTGTGGGCAAGGGGCAATCAGATGTGCAGAAATGGACGTGCCAGTGCACAAAGTTCAGAATTCCACCAAAGACTCTTTCCTTCTCAAAGGCTCAGGCCCTACAATGGAGAGAGAACTCCCAGTCCCAACGCATCAGATGCTGGCTTGTTAAACCCAGAAACACTGACGAGATGGCATTCAAGAAACTGGTTTAATTTCTGATTTCTCCAAAACAGATAGTTAGAGGTCGATTAGCTATCCTATTTTCTTTTTGCAATTCTGAATGATAAGCATAGCTGGGGGGAAGCCCTCTCAAAGGAACTATTTCCCGTAAGAAATGCTACCTCAGCCAATCCTCCGCCACTCCTCCAGAAAACTTGCCACTGCCTAAAGGAAATGCTGCTTCCCGACCTAAGGCCCGGGCCTGGGCTGGGAGCTCCGGGGGCCACACCCAGGGTGCTCAGGGTTGACAGCAGTGTCACACACGATTCCAGTTTGGGACCTGCTTCTGTGCAACCTTAGACCTAGAGAGGGGCAGCTGAGAGAGCGAAGGGGAGAGTCTTGCTGCAGCGGGCGAGTGCTGTCCTCAGCCACCGGGAAAGGAGGAGTCGTCAAATGCAGTTTTTCAACTTGTGCTAAACAAGTTAAAAGATAAGCACCCTCTGACCCCTCCTTCAGAAGGGACTGGCCCAGAGACAGGGCTCATGGTGTGACCAACTCTTCCAGGAGAAGGGGTCGACTCACCAGCTCACCTTTTAAAACCTCAGACTGAGCAAAAACACGGTGAGAGTGACCAAGGGCTGCCTTAGGCCAGGTGGACAGAAGGTGAAGGAGCAGAGAACTTCTGGACTCAGGGGACTCACACCCTGATGACTGCAGAGGGGACATCTGCCAAAACTCATCAAACTGCACAACGGGTGATTTTCTTCCCTGTAAATCGTGCCTCGGTAAGGCTGACTTAAACTCCATAGCAAGAAAGCACGATTACTCCAAAAAGTCAAAAGAAGGAGCCAGCTGCCCGGTCCCAGGCTGTCCTGTCTGTGCTCACAGAGGGGCCTGGGACCGTCTAGAAGGAAGGAAAGTTGCGGGCTTTTCTGGCCTTACAGTGAGGGCGCAAGACCTCTTATCACTTCCTCTGAAAGTGTACCCTCCCAATTACGTCTGACTTCAACAACTGTTAAAATTAACTTCAAGTTCCTGACCAGAATGCAAATGATAATAAGAGGAAGCTGGTCTGAGAGGAGCAAGAAAACATAGTCTCTTAAGTATTACCCAGAAAGTTGACTTTACTGTTAAAACAAACAAAAACAAACCCGCACACACAAGGCGGAAGGCAGGAAGGGACCACCCTTCAAGGCAGACCACCCCCACAGCACTCCTTCCTGTCTGGTTCCCTCCTGAGAGCCTTTACTGGCCCGTGGTTTGTCCTTCCTATGCTGACCACCTTCTGTTACTGGTATTCATTAATTCCCTTCGTTTTCTCTCCACTACCCCCAAACCTCACCCAAATTCCTAAGGGCATGGACCCAGTCCTAGGACACAGCTCCACAGAAAAGGCCCTGGGCAAGCATCCAGTACATGTACGAGCCACCGAAAATGAAGACGCAGATCCGAGATTATGTGAGCTTCTCCACTTCAATCCCACCATTTTCCCTGGGAAAAAGTATCATCCATTTCACCAGCTCCTTCCCAGGAAGTGCAAGCACTTCCGCCCCCACCCCACCCCGGCCTCACCCAGAAAAGGAGAAAGCCATCTCCCTGGGAGCACCCCACAGTAAGAAAGCCCTCAACCTACCAGAAGAGGATTCGTAAGATATTGGCCACCAGGAGCACCAGACATACGTAGGTCGAGAAGCCCTCGGCGTTCTGAGTCCTCCGGATGTCCCTGTACTGCGGGATGTACGGCACCACCCCTCCGAAGACCATGGCCCCAGCTGCCCCCCAGGAAACCAGCTGCTGCAGCGGGACCAAAAGCCAACCCAAGCCTTCGGCGTCCATCCCGAGCGCCCGGCGGCCCCGCCGGCAGGCTGACGTCCACCTGGCCCACGCGCGCTCCGCGCTCTCGGGCTCCTGGCGCGCGCGCTGTCACCCTCACATGCCGCCGCTGCCCTGAGCCGTCCTCCGTCGCGGGGCCTGGCGAGAGAGGAAAAGCGGTAAAGCACTCGGGCCGGGCCTCCACGCCCAATGGGGTGCGCACCGCCGGGCTCGCGGCTGGGGCACGAACCCCTCCTCCGGGGCGCCGGCCCGGGGTGGACTTTCAGTTCGGGGTGGGGGCTCAGTTCCGGGCGAGGGGGTCGCACAGCCTGGGGGTCGGAGGGATGGGAGGAGGGGGGAAGAGGGTAGACACTGCCCAGGGGGCCCGGCCCGGGGTGGACGCTCAGCCCAGCGCGGCGCCCGCGTCCACGCACACTGCTGACCCCGCCGGGCTCACCGGCGCCGGCTGCTCCCAGCGGTCAGTCCACCCTCCTTCTGTCTGTCCAAGTGCCGGGCCCCGCCTCGGCGTGACGTCACAATACGTGGCCCCGCCCGCGCCGGGCGGAGGGGCGGGCGCCGCTGGGTCCTAGAGCGCGCCGGTGGGCGTGGAGGTGGGGGCGGGACCCGGGGCGAAGCCGGGTGTCGTGGGTCGTGGCCAGGGCGCTCCGTGGGCCCACCCGGCCCTGGTTAGGAAATCGCTGCCTGGCGGGGCCTCTCCTTCTGGGCCAGGGGCCCACGTGGACCCGGCGCCATCTGTCCCACGGCGAGTTGCCTTGTAGACGCGGCGCGCCGCCAACGGGAGCAGAGGACCGGGTCCTGTCGCCGCCCCGAGGGTCAGCGCGAGGCCCGGGGACGCCCCCCTCGTGGGGACTCGGGCAGGGTCTGAGCGCCCCGTGATTCCAGGGGTCCTTCCTCCGTTCGTGGTCTGCCCGGGTCTGTGGGGCTCCCCATCCTGAGCCGGGGCGTGTCCCTGAGGAGCGGCGTTCGGAAGTTTGCAGAGGGCCAGGGCAGTTTCGGCCAGGCGGGGGGGCCGGGGGCGCGACTCCTCGGGGAAGCGAAAGCCCACCCGCAGCCTGAAGCCCCTGAAGGTCCACTTCGGGGCCCAGGGCGGCAGCAGCCAGGACTGCCGTCCACAAGTGCGTTAGGTACCTTGTCCCTGAAGACAGTGCTGGCCGGTGGAGCTCGGATCCGCGAAGGGTACGTGCTTCATCTCGAGCGCACAACTCTAGCACTCACTGAGAGAGAAAACAGGAATTCCTGAGTGTGTCACCTGACCAAGGTGAGCCCTTCGAGGGAGGTAGGTGCTCAGAACCCAGATGCTGGTGGGCGAGGGAGGGGTGGGGGTCAGGGAGGGCCCTGTGAGAAGCCAGCCAGCCTGCCCAGGACCCTGTGCAGGTGGGCTCAGAGCAGAGAAGACCGCCTGCAGGCCCCCAGGATTCTGTCTACAGAGGAGCTCCCCCAGGGCTCCCACCTCCACCACAGCAAGCCCAAATCACCCCAAAAGGGAAGGCCTGGTGGGTGAGAGAGGGGGGTCCCAGGGGCACATACCGGCCAGCCAGCTTCCTACCTGGTACGCTTCGTGGGAAATCCTAAGAACAGGTACAACCTCACTTAGAGCAACTCCCAACGAGCCTGGCTATAAGGAGAGCTCTCCGTGAAGCACAGGTTGCTCTCATCCTCTCCAGCCTCTGAGGCCAGTGTACTGAGTATCCACCAGAGAAGGCCGAGAACACAGCACCAGAAACGTACAAGGAAATAAAACACAGACGGAGAAGGAAGTCCTGGAGGGGCTGGAGAAGAAAAGTGGTGTTCCTCCTTAGCCAGATCCTCCCCCGAGCTCTGGAGCTCCAGAATGTTCTGTCCCCTTTATGGTGGAGGTTGGAGTAGGGATATAGTCTTCCCTCCCCACGCACTGGAGCATCTGAGGCCACTGCATCTGGCCCTGTTTGTCCTGGAGCACGTGGGCAAAGTGGTGCCCGTCCATAGCCAGCTGCTGCCCTGGACCCATCAGCTGTGCCAGGTGGAGCGTGGGCAACAAACGCCTCCAGAGCCCTGTGAAGTGCATACAATCTTGCATTCTTGACCCAAGATTTTGCCCCACAGAAGGGGCCTGTAATCCTTGTGAACCCCACCTGTCTGGAGTAGAGGGGCACCCACTGGTCCAGAACCATCGCTCAAGCAGAAGGAGAGAGCTCATGTCGGCTGCTGCACATTACCTGGCTTCCTGTGTTACAAACAAAAGAAGCCGGCCAAACTGTGCAGTCTGAAAAATGAAACCCAGAACTAGCACATCCTAGTTCCCGGAACCTGTGAACATTACCTTCTGTGAAAAGAAAGAAATTGCAGATGTGATTACGTTAAGGACCTTGCGATGCAGAGATTATCCTGCATTACCCAGGTGGGCCCTAAATGCCATCACGTGTATCTTTATAAGAGAGAGGCAGAAGGAGACTCGAGACACACAGAGGCCATGTGGTGACGGAGCAGAGAGAGGTCTGAAGATGCGGCCTTGAAGCCTGGAGTAATGCAGCGCAGGAATGCTGGCAGCCACCAGCAGCTGGCAGAGGCGGGGAGCTGATCCTCCCAGGAGCCTCTGGAAGGAGCAGAGCCCTGCCAACGCCTTGATTTTGACCCAGTTAAACTGATTTCAGATTTTTGGCTTCCAGAACCGTGAGAGAACAAATCTCTGCAGTTTTATGCCACCCAGCTTGTGGCAGTTTATCACAGCAAACCACTGGGAACTAGTATAGAATCCATAAGCGAAGGAGAAACACCTTCTCAGAAAAACATGGCCCCAAGGAAGTCATTGCCCGCAGACCAGCCCTGTAAGGAATGTTTTGTTTTGGCCGCGTTGGGTCTTCGTTGCTGTGGCTTTCTCTAGTTGCAGCGAGCGGGGCTACTCTTCCTTGTGGTACGCGGGCTTCTCGTTGTGGTGTCTTCTCTTGTTGCAGAGCACGGGCTCTAGGCACACGGGCTTAGTAGTTGTGGCGCACGGGCTTAGCTGCTCCGTGGCATGTGGGATCTTCCCGGACCAGGGCTCGAACCCATGCCCTCTGCATTGGCAGGCGGATTCTTAACCACTGCGCCACCAGCGAAATCCCCAACCCTGGAGGAAATGTTAAAATAAGTTATTTAGTCAGAAGGAAAATTGGATCTCCGTAAAGAATTGAAGACCCTCAGAGAAAGAATAAATGAAGGTAAATCTTTTTTTTCTCTTATTCTTAATCTGAAAGATTATTGTTTATTTAAAGCAATCAAGTAACAGTGTATTGGGTGATTATAGCACGTGGATAAATGAAATGAATGACAAGGGATGTAAGGGAGGAATTGGGGAATATTCTCAAATAAGGTACCAGCACTACACATAAAGCAGCATATGTTATTTGAAGGTGAACTTAGATAATTTTAAAATATATATTGTAAACCCTAGGGCAACCACTAGAAAAGTTTTTTTAAACCATAAATAATACACCAAGAGATGAGACAAAAATGGAATTGTATAAAATGCAGTTAAAACCAGAGAAGGCAGAAAATGAGGAGGAAAAGGAAACAATAAATGCAATGAATAGAAAACAATTACAAAGTGCTAAATTTTAATCCAGCTATATCAATAATCACTTTAAATGTGAGTGGTCTAAACACACCAATTAAAAGACAGAGATTGTCAGGCTGGGTGAGGTTCAGAAATAAGCCTCCGCAAGCGACACTGTCCCTGGGGTATGTGGTGTCCTGTGCAGCAGAAATACAGGGAAGAGGACCACGGAGGTCTGTGAGCAGATGGGTGACAGGGACAGCTGTCTCAGGCAATGCTGCTGGCCCTTCGCCCTCCCAAGGGAATTGCTTCTACGCTGCAAAAAGACGGAGCGTCAGCAAGACCATTAGTAATCTATTCACGTATATGAGTAAGTGCGTGAGAAACAAGTCTGAGCAGATAAAGCCTCAATTCTTAATACTTATCTCTCATATGACTATTTTATACCTTTCTGTGTGGTTTAAATTTTTTTAACTAATTAATTTGTTTTATGTTTGGCTGCATTGGGTCTTTGTTGCTTTGCTGTGCGGGCTTTCTCTAGTTGCAGCGAGCAGGGGCTACTCTTCATTGCAGTGCGCGGGCTTCTCATTGCAGTGGCTTCTCTTGTTGTGGAGCACGGGCTCTAGGCGCGCGGGCTTCAGTAGTTGTGGCACGCGGGCTCAGCAGTTGTGGCTTGCGGGCTCAGCAGTTGTGCCTCAGGGGCTCTAGAGCACAGGCTCAGTAGTTGTGGTGCACGGGCTTAGCTGCTCCGCGGCACGTGGGATCTTCCTGGACCAGGGCTCCAACCCATGTCCCCTGCATTGGCAGACTCCCCGATTCTTAACCACTGAGCCACCAGGGAAATCCCTGGCTTAAATTTTTTACAGTGAGTATGTATGATTTTTGGGGGGAATGTTTATTTTTTGGCTGCAACACAGCATGCGGGATCTCAGTTCCCCAACCAGGGATTGAACCCGTGCCCCCTTCAGTGGAAGCTCGGAGTCCTAACCCCTGGACCAGCAGGGAAGTCCCTGTATGACTTTTCTAATTGAAAAAAATACATGGCTCCACTTTACCAGAAGAAAAGGCGAGTTTCTGCATTGCTACCTCTCCCCAGAAGTGAAAGCATGTCCCACACTTGGGTCGTGTGGCATCCAGACGTGTCCCCCGTTTGCCCTTGAGCCAAGCACATGCCACTTGTTGGATGCCTGTGGGCTCCATTGCAAGGCTCTAGCTGAGGCAGATGGGCTCCAGGTGTGAGCTCTTACCTTCTCCTCAGCGCACAGGTGCTATTTTTGGAACGAGTCGAGAATATGGAAACGGCATCGAGAAAGGTAAGCTCTCGCCGAAGTCACTGAGCCCACCAGGCTGAGGGCTTGTGCTGAGCCGGCACGATGAGGACGCGCGGGCTGAGAGTCACCCGAGGGTCCATGCATCCCGTTGCCGGAGGATGTGCTTACCGGTTGTTTCTGAGAACTCCATTCTGCCTCTGAATGTAGACAAAATAGAATCCAGGGGCTGTGGACAAAGCACCCAGCTGAGGCTTGTAGAGGCTGCAGAGCTGGGCGGTTGGGAAGGGCAGCTGCAGGGCATCATGGGCCCGGCCTTGGCTTCTGCCTGGCGAATGTCTATTTTCATGTATCCTGAGCTCGTGCCTTTACCATGTGAGGCCGGGCTCACTGCTGGCCCCCAGGCCCACCCCTTGCCTCGGGGCGGCCGTGCGGCTGACCTCTGGCCAGTGACATGGGTGGAGGTGCCTGGCCCCGCCAGTCTCCACCCCACCCTCCTTGCTCGCCCTCTCCTGCTGGCCAGGTGCGAACAAGGTAGTAGAGAGCTCCACGAGGACGTGGCCACCAATGAGAATGTCGCTGGGCTCAACCACTGGAACAGGCATTGTTCATTACAGAGGAGCATCACTTCCCCTAACACGCACACGAATTCTGAAGTGTCCACAACTTTAGCACTTCCCAAATGGTATCTAACAACAGTCAACCATACTACACAAACCCCAGCCCAGTGACCCCTAACAGCCCACATCAGCCCACTGCTGACTTTCCAGACTGACACCTGTGTTCCCACGTAGTGGAGCCACTGCAAGCCCACCCGAGTTGCCCTCGGCCCCACACAGAGCAGGCGGTAGACATAAACGGCACCTCTCATTAGCATCAATACTCATTGACAGCACGGCGGCTCTGCAATTGCTCCATAAACAATGGTTCTACAGGCGAAGAACACCTACAGAGAGCACAGAACTGTGCTCCCGCCCCTGCACCCGCCGCATGTCCCATCTCCGCAGGCCTTGGGACAGGCCATCACCCTTCCAGGTCTCCTCTGGCCTCTACTGGACTCAGCTCAGGCCCTGGACATCCTCGAAGGTCGAGGATATGACCACCCTTCTCAGCCTTGCCTCTGCCTTCCAGAGCCCCATGCTGGAGGGCCCCCCACCTCAGCCTTTGTGCGGGAGTGTCATGTAGCCGATGGACTGCTAGGACCTTACACAAGAACGCTGTCACCTCCATAGATTGTAAATGACAAACACACAAAAGTAAGATAAAAGGACAACAAAGGGGAGAGAATGTTCTTTTAAAAGCAGGAAAGGAAAGATGTGCATCCTGAGAGGTGTCCTGTCCGGCTCCTGGTTGTGAAGCCCCGAGGTTTCCCTGGTGAGATGGAGACAGAGCTCCTGGGCCGCAGGCCCGGCCAGACAGAGCACCAGCCTAGATGCACATGTCCCTCCCCCAAAGCAGTGAGGAACCCCTACACGGAAATGCAGACTCCACCTGCAGTGAAATCAGGAGGGCAGCAGAAACACCAAAGACCACACAGCACGTGGGGCGGCTGCCCGAGCACAGAGGTGGGACACCACCTGAGCAAAGTGAACGGGGCAGGGGTGTCCCGCAGCCGGGAGACCACCGGCTGGGCCCCGAATTACAGAGCAAGCCCCCAGCTTGAGAGGCGGGTGGTAGGAAGGTTGGGAACTAGTTAGAGCCCCGTCGGCCTCCAAGAGACGAGTAGGAAGCAAGGGTGCAGAGGCTGGTGTCGGAGACCTTTGAGAATCACGAGTGGAGCAGCGCCCGGGGGCCCTGGCGGTGCTGCCCACGGGGGTCTGAGCCTGGTTTTCATGAAGTACCTGGGCGCCTGGCACCCTCACTGCTTTGTCAGGAATCGATTGCTTTGCCACTTTTCTTCTGGGAACTTCACTTTCCAGAAAGTGCAAAAGACGCCAGCGACTGAACAGCAGAGTGTGCGAACGTTTTTAAATATCTTCAGAGAAATAGATGCAATTGTTAAAATTTGTCGGGTGATGGTAGCATTATGCACCAAAAGTAAGTGAATAAGCAAACGTGCCTGTGAAACTGGACAGATCTAACGTCTGCAGTTTAGCCAGTAGCATTGTGGCAATGATGTCATATCCCCTAGTTAAGTGAGCCATCCTTGCGGGAGGCCGGAAGTGTGTACAGAACAAGATGCTCTCTGAAAAAGAGGCTGAGCTGGGGGGTAAAACTGCAGTTTGAAGAAACTAAACAAATGCTAGTGGGAAATCTGCGCATAGGTTGAAGACTAGAGGAAGGCTAGAAGGCTATGGAACTACATAGTTACAAGTTTTATCAAGGAATTATTTTGTAAAACATGCAGAGAAAAAGCCCATAGTGAAATTAAACTGAGTAAAGATGAGGTCTGAATCTGATCACATCGAAAAAGAAAAGACCAGAATAAGCGTGTGCAGTTACCAGACAAAGAACCGTCCAGATGTGAACAACGTGCAGAGCTCAAAGGACCGATGGGGTCACATCAGAAGTCTCAAAAGACCCAGAAAAGGTTTCGCTTATTTTAAAAAGTGACATGGAAGTTCCGTGCAGTTGGTTTATCCAGCAGACTATGTGGCCAGTGAGCACAGGGAAAGTAAGAGAAGGCAAATGAAGGCGTCTCATGTTCAAAATTCTTTGTTAATAGTTGGAATAGAAACCATTTCAAATTCAAACCAGGTAATTAGATCTCAGCTACCTGTGAGATGAAAAATAAAAACAGAGAAGTTGGAATGTGACCTTTGTTCACTGTGTTTGGCTGAAAATCCACTGAAAATGAATGCAAGATCTTGTAGCACAAAAACAAACAAAAGGCAGTGGTTCGCAACAAGCTCTAATAGCAGAAGTTCATGACTGCAAAGGGGACTGACTCAGGAAGGGAAAGACGAGGACAGAGCTGGAGGCGGCAGCAGAGGAAGGGAAAGATGAGGACGGAGCTGGAGGCGGCAGCAGAGGGCGTGAGGGCTGACAGCAGAAATGGAGGAGGCGTCCAGGGGCAGCATCGCCTGTGAATTCGAGGTGGCTTCGCGGAGAGAAAGGCCGCGTCCTCGGCGTTCACCACTCACTCATTCAGCGAAAGGAACTCTTGCTGGAAAGAAGATGCAGAATGCAGGCTCGAGGTGCAGATTACTACCAGTCAGCCGAGAACAGCAGTGCTTACGCTGAGGGGTGCCCTCAGGAGCACACAGCACACACGCACGATCCCGTCTCCAGAAGCGCACGCTTTTGCCTGTGAACCTTCCTCTTCTTTGTTTTTAATTGAGGCAAAATTCATGCAACAGAAAATTAGCTCTGTTAAATGAACAGTGGCATACAGTACATTCACAGTGTGGTGGGAGCACCATTTCCATCTGGTTCTGGAACATTTTCATCCCCCAATAAAACCTCACGCCTCTTAGGCAGTTCCTCCCCAGCCCCTGCCCCCTCCAGCCCTGGAAACCAGCAGTCTGCTCTCTTTCTTTATGCCTTTGCCTGTTCTGGACGTTTCAGAAAATGGACTCACACGATGCTGGCCTTGTGTCTGCTGCTTCTACCAGCATCATGTTTACACCAAGGAAGCAGGGGAGCAGGATGCTCATTCCCTCCAGGGGCCCCCGGAGCCCCCCTTCTGCTCAGCTGCCTGGTGGCCTGCTTTTTAAATGATAATTAATGTGCTTGAGCTCCAGAAACGTTTCAGGCGACTTAAGTTTTCTGTCATTCACATTTCCTCAAGTATCTTACCTCTTAAGACTGTGACCTGACCAGTAGCAAAAAGCACAATTTTTTATTTGAAAAGTCATACAGTAAAGGGAAAATAGACTGTACTAAACAGAATTTTTAAATACAAAGTGTGCATTAACTTGCAACCAATCACCCAGAGGCTTCTTGAATGTTTCCTCCCTCCCTCCTTCCCTCTCTCCCTCCCCGCACCTTGCCTGAGAGTTTCCTGGGCCCTCACTCCTCGCTGGGGCTGGAACAAGCACCCGAGGCTCCCCAGAGAGCTGGACACTTTCGTCCAGCTGGACACATTCTCTAAAGCTCACGCAAGTGTTTCCTTGAGGTCCCTCATTGAGACTGTGATGTGACAGGGAATTCCCTGGCATCCCAGTGGTTAGGACTCAGCGCTTTCACTACGGGGGTGCAGGGAGGATGGGGGGGTGCTTGGGTTTGATCCCTGGCTGGGGAACAAGCTCCCACAAGCCACGTGGTGCGGCAGAAAAAAACGGAAGATTGTGACGTGATAAAATTGTTTACCTGGAAAAGAAGCAACTTCATTTTTAACTCAGACTTTGGATTTTCTTTTCTTCCCAAGGCAACTGTGGGCCACAAACAGGTGCCCACTGAGAGGCTCAGAAGTACCTGTGAATGCTAACATGGGGTGGGGGGTGGCCAGGAGCCAGCCCCCAGCCCCAGAGTTTCTACCTCTGAGGGGCTGACAGCAAGACACTGATTTTCCTGAAGTGGAAAAAGGCGAGCTGATTTTATTTTTACTCGGCAAAGAAAGCTGTTTCTTCATTGTGTATTTCCCTTGGGGTGGCCTTTGAGAGGAGTTGTTGGAGTGGTGGGAACACCAACACTGACACTGACCAATGCAGAACAAAAACCAGATGCTGGGCTGGTCAGAGCAAGAGTTGGGGCAACCTTGGAAGTAAGTATTTAAAAGCTTTTAAAGAAGTTTATAGGTTGGAGAGGATTCTGGGATGATGGCAGAGCAAGAAGCACCGGGAATGGCCCCCACCTGGACCACAACTGCAGGGACAGAAGCTGTCTGATGTAACTGACTTGGAATCCAGAGCTGGTTAAGGCTTGCAAGTTCCAGGGGAAGTGCTGGATTGTTACTGCAGTCAATTGTGGTGACTTTCAGGTCTTAGCACGTAGCACCTACCCGTCCCACCCTCAGCCACATGGCAGGAGGCCATACACGTGTTTCTAGAGCAGCTTGCAGAAGCCAGCCAGGGTGGACCAAAAGGACCTTGTCCTCCAATATCAGGAATCTGTGCTCTGATGCTGCTTAAGATGGCAGAGATGCAGCCAAAGAGGCAGGTGGCCATTGTTGCCACACCTCCCCCCTTGTTGCAAACCCCTCCCCCACCAAGTGGATTTCAAGGGCGAGTGCCCCGTTTATCCCCCTTTGTTTTTCTCTTTCCCCCCTTTTCAAGCCAGACATTAAAGACTAGGGCATTGAAAAACAACTGCATAGACACGAAAAGACAGAAAATGATGGCACATGCCCAGGAAAGGCTCAGGAAAGACCTGAGCAGACATTAAGTTTCCACCTCAGGCTGAGCCTCAGCTCAGACAACCTACAACAAGCAAAGAACAAAAACAGTAACAAAAAGCATCAGACCTTGAGGAAGGGGGAGAAGCCGCTTTCCAGAGTTACCACATTATTGGATTCAAATGTCCAATTTTCAGCAACAACAAAATAAAAATCACAAGGCATACAAAGAAACAGGAGAGTATGACCTGTTCAAAGGGAACAATTATTTAATAGAAACTGGCCCTAAAGAAGACCTGATGACAGATCTACTCGATGAAGACTTTAAAACAACTGCCTTAAAGATGCTCAAAGAACTAAAGGAACATAGAACGTTGAGAAAGCAATGTGTGAACAGTGGAGCTATCAGTAACGAGGGAGAAAACCTAAAAGAAACCAAAAAGAAATTCTGGAGCTGAAAAGTACAATAGCTGTAATGAAAAACTCACTAGAGAAATCAAAGGCAGATTTGAACAGGCAGAAGAAAGAATCTTTCGAAAATCTATCTTATTTCAAGTTCTAAACAGCTGGCAGTAAGACATTGGTCTATGTCCAAATTTGAGAAAATGAAGACCCTTTCTGCCTTTGGGGAGGTTTAAGCCAGTTCCTCCTTTTCTGTTTTCCTCAATCTGTTCATTCTGCAGTTTTGACTGCTTGTTCACACACCGAAACCCCTGGAGGGCTTTAAAACCACAAATGCCAAGGCGTCCAGAGTGCTGACAAATGTTACGTGGCTCTATCATGCAGCCAGGTCTGAGAGCCACTGTTTTAAAATTCACAACTAGTACCGGAGGTCCTCATGACTCAGGATAATTGCTTCTGGGAAAGGCAACTTACTGTAAATGGGGCCAGAATTGCATAATAAATAGTACGTTAAAAAAATAGTTAATTATGTTGCATTAAAAATAAAAGTTAAGGGCTTCCGTGGTGGTGCAGTGGTTGAGAGTCTGCCTGCCAATGCAGGGGACACGGGTTCGTGCCCCGGTCTGGGAAGATCCCACATGCCGCAGAGTGGCTGGGCCCGTGAGCCATGGCCGCTGAGCCTGCGCGTCTGGAGCCTGTGCTCCGCAACGGGAGAGGCCACAACAGTGAGAGACCCGCGTACCGCAAAAAAAAATAAACACAAAAAAGTTAAAATTATGAAAACATTGCAACAATTTTAGAATCAATAAAAGGAAGCAAAAAATTCTATGCTCAAATCTGTATGTCCAAATCAGTACCCTGAAAGAACCCTTCTTTGCTTACAGAATTTTTAAGTGAGAATTTCAAACATACACAAAAGTAGAGATTATAGCACAGTGAATTCCATGTATCCATCACCCAGCACCAATAACTATAAAAAAGCCCTTTTAATGAATATAAAATAAAGAACAGCACCGTCTAATCAGCAGCATTCCTCCCTTTCTTGGCAGTAATGGTGCATCTTAAAATCAGCAGCGTCTTAGGTTTAAGCCCTTAGAAATGAAGCCATTCACATGGAATCAAAGGAGCATCTGGGCGCTTCCACCTGCATTCACGCCTCACAGGATAGAACTTCCTCTTACATTCGGTCACCCTATAATCTCATCTATCAAAGTTAAAATTTCACTTTTCTAATTTGAAGTTTTGTTTCATATTTAGCTGCCGCTCTTGTGGTCTGTGTCTTTGATTCCATTATGTACTTCTTACCTAGACTCTATTTTCCTCCCCAAACTATCTTTGCACCATTAAAAACATCATCTAATTTCTGCAGCTTCACAGCACACTTGAATACTCTCCTATTGTAGATTTGCAAGATGAATTGCATTCGAGAATTTTTCCCCTGAACCTAGTTCCTGAAATTTAATATCCTTAACAAAATGAATTTTTGTTGAGTGATTCTTGCTTCCATATTAATGATTTTGTCCCCCACGGATGCAGAACTAAGAATCTGATCCCTAATTAGGCAGCATAAGTGAAAAACCATTCAGGTGCTAGATGTAGGATGACAGATTCTATTTCTCCATTAGAGATTGGGTTCTCAGGGTTATCAGAGAATGTCTAGGAGGTTTCCACTGGACCACAGAGATTACAGTTCAGAAAGATAGACACATACTAAAAAACACAAAGGGGTAGGGAAAGAGAGTCACAGGTTTCCTAGCTCCGGGAATTCTTAGCCTAGGCATTGAAGCTGGGGTGGTGTACTTAAAATATATGTATATTGTGGTAGAATATACATAACATCAAATTCATCATCTTTATTGTTTTTTATTGAAGTACAGTTGATTTGCAACATTGTGTTAGTTTCAGGTGTAATCTTAACCATTTTTAAGTGTACAGTTCGCTGGCATTAAGTACATCCATACTTGTTGTGCAGCCATCACCACCGTCCATCTGCAGAATTTTTCATCTTTCCCAACTGCAACTCTGCACTCACTAAACACTAATGCATTACCCCTCTCCCCAGCCCCTGGCACCCACCGTCTACTTTCTATCTCTGTGGATTTGACTGCTCTGGGGACCTCATATAAGTGGAATCATACGAAATTGATCCCTTTTATGATTAGCTTCTTTCACTTAGCATAATTCCTCAAGGCTCATCCATTTTGTAGCATGTGTCAGAATTTTCTTCCTTTTTAAAAATAAATTATATATAATTTTATTTATCCATTCACTCATCCGTCGATAGACACGGGTTGCTTCCTCCTTTTGGCTATTGTGAATGATGCTGCTATAAACATGGTGTACAAATATTTGTTCAAGTCCCTGTTTTCACTTCTTTGGGGTTTATACCCAGAAGTGGAATTGATTCATATGGTAACTGTATGTTTGATTTCTTGAGGAATTGCTGTAGCATCCTGATTCCCGCTCTTAGGGAGCCCTCCAGGCTCCAGCCTCAGGCGTTCCCGAGGCTGTGCCTCCCCGAGGGTGGACCTGGGCCGTCTCCGCCAGATCCACCTGGGGAGACCCCTGTCACCCACCCCTACCTCCACCCACTCTGGGCGAGGGCCTGGGGCTTTGTTTCCACAGGTGAATCCACCTCCCCAGTGGCCCGCTGTGCACCCCTGATGCTAGTCGCCCTGGTCAAGCTGTTCTGGAAGCTTGAACTGAAAGAACCTCAGGCCAGGCGGTGGCCACACAGAGAGGCCCCTCCAGGGAAGGGGCAGCCCTCACGGCTCTTTTTAGCATCTTGCCACACAGAAAAGTGGCAAGACGGCCATGCTTTTGAAAAGTTATTGTATTTCTCCAAAGAAGACATGCAGATGGCCAACAGACACATGAAAAGATGCTCTACATCGTTAATTATTAGAGAAATGCAAATCAAAACCACAGTGAGTTATCACCTCACACTGTCTACAAATAATAAATGCTGGAGAAGGTGTGGAGAAAAGGGAACCCTCCTACACTGTTGGCGGGAATGTAAATGAGTGCAGCCAGCCACTATGATAAACAGTATGGAGGTTCCTTAAAAAAAAAACTGAAAATAGATCCAACAATCCCACTCCTGGGCATATATCCAGAAAAGATGAAAACTCTAATTTGTAAAGATACAGGCACACCCATGTTCATAACAGCACTATTTACAATAGCCAAGACATGGAAACAACCTAAGTGTCCATCAACAGATAACTGGTTTAAGAAAATGTGAGATCTATATAGAGAGACATAGATATACAGAGGTATAGATACTCAGCCATAAAAAGAATGAAATATTGCCATTTGCAGCAACATGGATGGAGCTAGAGATTATTATACTAAGTGAAGTAAGTCAGAGAAAGACAAATATTATATGCCATCACTTATATGTGGAATCTAAAAAATAATACAAATGAATGTGTATACAAAACAGAAACAGACTCACAGACATATAATACAAAATTATGGTTACCAAAGGGGAAAGGGAAGGAGGGATAAATTAGGAGTACGGGATTAACAGATACACACGACAATACATAAAACAGATAAGCAACAAGGATTCACTGTATAACGCAGGGAACTATATTCAGTATCTTGAATAACCTATAATGGAAAAGAATCTGAATATAGATCTAGATCTAGGATAGAGATAGAGGTAGATATCTGAAGCCTTTTGCTGTACACCTGAAAACTAACGCGATATTGTATACTTCAACTATACTTCAATAAAAAAGTTACAACTTTAACAACCCTATTGAGATGTAATTCACATATATATGCGATACAATCCACCCATTTAAAGTATACAATTCAATGATTTTTTTTTTTTTTTTTTTTTGCGGTACGCGGGCCTCTCACCGTTGTGGCCTCTCCCGTTGCGGAGCACAGGCTCCAGACGCGCAGGCTCAGCGGCCACGGCTCACGGGCCCAGCAGCTCCGCGGCATGTGGGATCTTCCCGGACCGGGGCACGAACCCGTGTCCCCTGCATCGGCAGGCGGACTCTCAATCACTGCGCCACCAGGGAAGCCCCAATTCAATGATTTTTAATATATTCACAGGGTTGTGCAACCGTCGCCACGATTTGTCCTTAAATATTTATTTATTTATTTATTTTGGCTGAGCCAGGTCTTAATTGTGGCACACGGGATCTTTAGTTGTGGCATGCGGACTTCTTAGTTGTAGCATGCGGGATCTAGTTCCCCAACCAGGGATCGAACCTGGGCCTCCTGCAGTGGAAGCACAGTCTTACCCACTGGACCATCAAGGAAGTCCCCCCACGATTTGATCTTAGAATATTTTTGCCCCCAAGAAGAAACCCCTTAACTATGGCAGTCTCTCCCCTTCCCCCTCAACTTCCTGTCTCCATGGATTTGCCAATCTGGACACGTCACATGAGTGGAATCCAACCACGTGTCCTCTTGTGATTGGCTTCTCTCACTGAGCATCATGTTCCCAAGGTTCATCCATGTTGTGTCATGTGTCAGGGCTTCATTCCTTCTTATGCCTGAATTATATTCCATCGAGGGGAGGGACCACATTTTGTTTATCCATTCGTCTGTTGATGGACATTTGGGTTGTTTCTACCTTTTGACTAGTGTTAATAATGCTGCTATAGACATTTGTGTACATGTTTTTGTGTGGACATATGCTGTCATTTCCCTTGGGTACATACCTACAGGTAGAACTGAGATTCTATGGTAACTCTATGTTTAAGTTTTTATGGACCTGCTAGACTAGCTGCACGACTTTACATTCCCACCAGCATGTGACGTTCCGACTTTGCCACACCCTCGTCCACACTTGTTATTGTCTCTTTTGATTTTAGCCATCACAGTGCATGTGAAGTGGATCTTGTGGTGGTTTTGATTTGCATTCTCATGATGACTAAGGATGTTGGGTTTCTCTGCATGCAAGGCTGTGTTTCACACACATTCAGCAACCAGGTGTCCCCATGTAGTCACTTGGCTGGGCTCCTGGGATGTTGGTAGGACCCAGACAGACACAGCCCTGCCCCACAGAGGGGTACAGACATGTAAACAAAGCAGGTACTTGCTAAGAACAGGGTCCTGGGACATCACCCATAAAATGCCCCATGAGCCACAATCCAGACAGGCCTAAAGGGCATCTGAGGGAGGGAAAGTCACAGTGAGGCCTTCCTTCCAGATCTTCGATAAAATCAGAGCAGAGATGCGAGTGTTGGCAGCCTGTTGGAGTTGGTCACAGAACATAACTATTCTTTAACCATGCAGCGTGTTGCTTGTGGGATCTGAATTCCCCCACCTGGGGACTGAACCTGGGCCTTTGGCAGTGAGAGCTTGGAGTCCTAACCACTGGACCGTCAGGGGAGTCCCAGAGCATAAATATTCTTAATCTTAAAGTTGACAGCAGACATGGCAGGGGTCCGGAGAGATGGCCGAGCCTCCTGGATGGATGGTCACAGGTCCCAGGACCGCAGTGCGAACTTGGGCTGTGTGGTGACTGCAGCCACATTCCATCCCCACCCCTGCCTCCAGGATCCCCCGTTAGACGGGTGACAGCCTTGCAAAAACACGACGGGACACGGGAAGGTCGAGCGCTGGAGGCTGGGGAGGCTGGGGAGCCGGTGTCTCCTGGATGCAGAGATTGGTGTGGGAAGGCTAGGAAGTCGCGGGGGGGGGGGCGGGCGGTGGTTTGCACAACAGTGTGAACGTACCTAACGCCACCGCACTGCGCCCTGAAAACAGCCAGAACGGCAACTTGGAGCTTGTGTGCTCTTTGCCACAATGATAATGGAAAGGTCGTGCTCACTCTGGGCTCTGACGCAATGAAAACGAAGCCAACAGCGTAGCCGGGATCGGCTGGTCCGGCGAGGTCCCGCCCCGCCCGGACGGCCACCTGCGCCCCGCTACGGCCTCACCTCCGTGCCAGGCTGCTCGGCCCAGTTCGGGCGCACAGCCCGGGCCGCGCGGGTGGATCCACGGCCATCGCCGCGGGAGCCGCGGGCGGCGGAGCGGAGCCGACAGAGCCACCGGCCCCGGGACCAGCCGACCCACCTGGACACCCCGCACCCCGGACCCGGGGGACACCCCCATGGCCGCGCGGGGCCCCGAAGCCCCCAGCGGGCGCGCGCTGCGGGACGCGGTAAGTCGGACCCCGCGCGCGCCAAGCTTCGCTCCCGGGCTGGACACCCCCCCCTCCCCTCCCTCCCCTCCCCCCCCCCCCCTCCCACCCCGCCCAGCGCCGGGAGGCCAGCGGTCCTGCTTCCCGTTCGCTGAAGGAGCCGCAGCGCCGAGAGGAGACAACCAGTGGTCAGGACTGATCAGTTTGCCTCGTTAAAAAGAATTGGTTAGCTGTGCACACTCGAATCCACGTTTTCCTGACATGATTGAGGGGAAGAGCTCCTGACAGAGGGCCTTCTGCATACGTAAACGCAGGCTCCAGGTGGAGATCCGCCTCCATATCCTGGGCTCTAAAATGGAGATAATAGACGGGTGCCAGGAGTGAACTGTGTTGTAAATGGTATGAGATTTAAATCTGTAAACTGTAGGGCGACTTACAATACCGCCTGCTGTCAGTCACCATAGATGACATATCCGTACGGCCTGGTAAACAATTTCTGCAACCCCAATCCCAGCTAATAAATCCCCACAAGTGTGGGCGAGGCAAGAGGCCCACGGTGGGTGCGTCTAGTGACTGTCTCAGGCCTTCTCAAGAAGTCCTTGAGGAGCCCAAGGTTAATAAGACTTTCTCCTACGTTATCTTCTAGATGTCTGATGGGTTATCGCTTATATTGAAGTGTACAATCATTTTGAGTTACTTGTTGTGAGTGGTGTGAGGTAAAGGTCGGGCCTGCTCATGTAGGGAGTTACGCATTGGCTAGCACTGTTCAGTGCTGTTGGTTGACCAGACCTTCCCTACCCTTTGAGTGGGAAGGCCTTAACACCTTGTCGGGAATCAACTAATGGAATATATAGATGGTTCTCTTCCATGGTGCTTAGAATGCTCTACATCACAAGGAAATATATATTCACTTGTGGTTCATTTTTCAGGCAGAAAATCTATTTCAGGAACTTCAAGAACACTTTCAAGCTCTGACTGCAACGTTAAACCTGAGAAATATCCTTTTCTGTCTCATAACAAACACTGCGGTTGCTTTTGGACTATTGAACTGTTGTGGACTCTCTTGTTGTTTTCTCTTTAGTGGATAATTGTTGACCTAAGACTTCCTGGTGTTTACGTCTGTGCCTTTACATGGCATCCTGATGTATTAATTACCGCTCACAGGTAATTACTTCCTGCTTGACCAGCAATACAGGGCATTTCATGAGGCAAGGATAAAACACAAGGACACACGAACAATACATACTACCCAGTGGGGCCTCCCAGCAAGCCCTAAAGAAATCTGGTTAGTCTGCTAAATAGCATTTATACTCCCCCAAACAGTCAACTCTGCACAGGTACTGGTTAGGTCTCCAGCGCAGGGTACGCTATCTGGCTCTCCTTGCCTTGTTTTGTTTTGTAACTTCAGCAGCTCGCCATTTGGTAAGCCATGGATTCAAACAGAGTTAGGTGGAATGTTTGTTTCCGGTTTAAGAAAATCCAGAAAAAGGGACACTTGCTCTAAGACTTGCCCAAGTGAACTCACTTCACACAATTAAACTCCTGCCTTAAAATGTGTACAAATTGTTTGCAGAGAGATCCTGTAGATGGGCTCCCACAGGGAAAAAGAGATTCTGAAACAGGATAAAATTATAAACAGTAGGAAAGTTTGTTTTAAACACAGTTAATTTTCATTGTATTTACATACTGATTAGAGTTTGGTTAAAACATAGTTAAACATACCAGACAACCTCATATCCCCGAATCCATGTCCACGGAAAGGGAGCCAAGGTTTCAGAACCGGGCTCAGCGTGCAAAGATTAAAGGCACGTACAGACCCTCAGGGATGTGATTAATGTGCACTGACTTAAGGTGTTAGTACACATCCGCTGCCTTTGATTCCCTCATTTTAGATGCACCACAGGGCATTTTTATCAGCCCTGGTGATGCAGTTTACGTGGAGGCTTTGAGGGACCTGGGTAGGTGCCCGTATTCCATGTGCTGTTCTCCTTAACCTCGTACTGGAAGAAATGGGAGGCCGCATTGAAGACTTGCAGAAGAATGTGAACGACTTGATGGTGCAAGCTGGGATTGAAAGTTCTGCTCAAGAGCAAATGGCGAGGCCTTATTAAGGCACTCAGGTGTTCACCGTTTACATATCTTCTGCTTTCATCTTGAAACATTTAAGCCCATATTTGTTCACTAAGGGAACTACTGCTTCTGCACTACATGAAAAACCTTCAGGAATAATAAAAAAAATTCACAAATGCTCTTTTCTAAATAGAACAGAGACACTCTTTGTCATTGTTCCTTAAAAAGTGCACATTTTAAAGGAAAACTATTATTTAAAAATTGGATTTTGTTAAAGTACTTTTCACCCTCATCCCTCAAATTAGTTTTCAATCAAAACACAAGTCATGATGAATGAGTGCTTGGGGATGACAACTAGTGGCTTCTGTTTGAGACGTTCATGGAAGGATTTAAAGAAGACACATGTGCATTAGGTTCTCACCCCATTTCATGAGTGGTTCCTGAGGAGCCCACCCCGCCCCCCAGAATGCAAATATTTCTTTTCCAGTGGAATTTTGCATTTCATCTTTTTTCTTTTACTATTTTATTTTTAATTTTTAGTCTTAGTTTTATTTTTTAATTGAAGGTTTTATTGTAGTTGACGTACAATAGTGTATAAGTTATAGGTGTACAATGTAGTGATTCACAATTTTTAAATGTTATACTCCATTTATAGTTATTAGAGAATATTGGCTGTATTACCCATGTTGTACAATGTATCCTTGTAGCTTATTTTATACATAATGGTTTGTACCTCTTAATCCCCTACCCCTAGTTGCCTCTCCCCCTTCCCTCTCCCCAATGGTAACCACTAATTTGTTCTCTATATCTGTGAGTCTGCTTCTTTTTTTTTTTTTTTTTTTTTTTGTGGTACGCGGGCCTCTCACTGTTGTGGCCTCTCCCGTTGCGGAGCACAGGCTCCAGACGCGCAGGCTCAGCGGCCATGGCTCACGGGCCCAGCCGCTCCACGGCATGTGGGATCTTCCCGGACCGAGGCACGAACCCGTGTCCCCTGCATCGGCAGGCGGACTCTCAACCACTGCGCCACCAGGGAAGCCCTGTGAGTCTGCTTCTTTTCTGTTATATTCACTAGTTTGTTGTATTTTTTAGATTTCCTACATATAAGTGAAATCATACAGTATTTGGCTTTCTCTGTCTGACTTATTTCACTTAGCATGATGCCCTCCAAGTCCATCCATGTTGCTGCAAATGGCAAATTTCATTCTTTTATTATGGCTGAGAAGTATTCCATTGTATATACACACCACATCTTCTTTATCCATCATCTGTTGATGGACACTTGGGTTGCTTCCGTTATCTTGGCAATTGTAAATAATGCTGCAATGAACATTGGGGTGCACGTATCTTTTCGAATTAGTGTTTTGGGGTTTTTTTCTGCACTTCATCTTGAAGATGCAGATAAATGCTTGGCTTCGGGTCTTGGACTGAATATGTATCTGTGTGACATACCTGGAGACACAAACCTTTTGTCTTTTGTGAAGATACTCAAGCATGTTTCACTGACATAATATTCTGATTCTACGAGCACATTCTAATTTTAGTTGAACAGTTAGATGCTGTTGTTTTCCTTGCTTTCCTATTTCTCTGTCAATTGTTATCCCAAGTCAGCTGGCAGACCATCCGTGCTCATCCTGCTGAATCAGAGTGAGTTCACCTGTCAGTGACTTATTTATCAATTTCTACATCCGCTGTTCTGGTAGAAAGGGTAATTGGAATCTGTGTCCTGCACACACGAGCTGCAGACCTCGGGGAGGGCGCTCCAGTTCTGTCTGCAGGATGAATACTTAGCTCTACCCAGGGAGGTTGCGTCAGACGGGTCCACCTGCCCTGGAGCCTTCTCCTCCCTCCACCTTCTGGGTGCTGAGGACCAGGTTCTGCAGGGCACCAAGCCCAGCTCTGGGCACGCTGCCAGGAAGGGGATGGCGGCCAGTAACTTAGTTCCTTCCTGTCATCACCCAGACTCCAGCTGGCTGTTTTAAATTTGGTCAAAACCCACCATATATTAGGCATTAAATTAAATGGATGAGTAGGTATCAAAACTTCACTTTTTTTTTTTTTTGCGGTACGCGGGCCTCTCACTGTTGCGGCCTCTCCCGTTGCGGAGCACAGGCTCCGGATGCGCAGGCTCAGCAGCCACGGCTCACGGGCCCAGCCGCTCCGCGGCATGTGGGGTCTTCCCGGACCGGAGCACGAACCCGTGTCCCCTGCATCGGCAGGCGGACTCTCAACCACTGCGCCACCAGGGAAGCCCCAAAAGTTCACTTTTTTGATGCACGTACAGCCATTATTTAAAGCAGCATGAGAGAAGGTCGGATATCTAAAAGCGTGTTTAAAAGCTGATAATGCCTTTTAAATTAAAAGAAGGACCTGAGTGAGTCTAAATCTGTGCTTGTTGGTTTTGCTGGGTCAAGGATTCCTAGCACAGTGCTGTGGATTTCAGGGGATTCGGCAAACCCCCTAAACTTGCTGTGCTCCTGCTGTGGGGAGGGGAGTCCATGACCCCCAGATGGTAGGAGCTACTGTTCCGTATGCCAGCGGATTTGGCCCGCCACCCCGACATCTGAACACCTTTCCTGCTGCGAGGAAGCAGGCACGCTGTTGTCTGAGGAGAACCTCTCCACACTGTTGATGCAAAGTGATGCTTTGTCACTTGAAGAACACACCCCTTAAGCTGTGAATCCACACAGACTCCATCTGACTAAAATGAACATCATTTAACATTTAGGGTTTTCTATATTCCGAATTTTTCCTGTACAAAACTGTTCTAGTAATTACGGGAAAGTAAGCTAATTTTATTGATAGCTTTGGATTCCAGTTTACGTAACTGTACATTAATTGATATATAAAATCAATCGTTACTTCTTTCCACTTTTTTCTTACAGACTTGAGGACAGTAGACCAGTCATTTGAAAATGTGAAAGAGTGAAAACTGTACTTTTTGAGTAATAATCTACATAACACGAGTTCTTATTTTTAGTATTTAAGAATTCACTTTAGTAAAATAAAGCATTAAAAGAACAAAGGCAACGCAATAAGAATGTAATTAAGAAGGTGATTAACCACTTAACAAAGATGGTTGTAAAATGGCAGAACACTTTTCAATGCACACCTAACATTTGTAAATCATGGAGGAAAAGCACGAGTTACATTAGGTCAATTTTTTTTCCAGAATTAAGTTCTATATAGATCCTTCTTTAAAATACCACAAGAAGTTTTCTGATAGAAGTTGCTTTTTTTTTTTTTTTTTTTTTTTGTCCACTGCAGCATGTGGGATCTTAGTTCCCCAACCAGGGATCGAACCCACACCCCCTGTATTGGAAGTGCAGAGTCTTAACCACTGGACTGCCAGGGAAATCCCAGAAGTTGCTTTTTTAATAACTGCATTCCAATTCAATAATTCCAGTCACACAGTTTTGGGGAAGACTTGGTTTAATCTGCCCAGTCCAAGCAAATTCTAACAGTATGTTCTCCAAATCAAAGGAAACCAATGAAAGGACAGCCAAAGAAACAGGTGATGCAGGAGCTCCATGATTGCTTCCTGGGACACCCTCACCCGCTCCAGCCCCCATAGAGGTAGTTACCAAGGAGATGCACAAAGATTGCACCTAAGTTTAATTTGTCAGTTAGAGATGCTTTCAAACAATTGTTCAATTCACCTGTCTCCGAGCCGAAGTACGAATAGAGCTATGATCACCTAAAAAGGCTCTCATTGTAAAGAATAACATTATTCCTGCATATAAAATAAATCATACTCTTTAAACAAAAGTCAAAATCACTCATAATTCTACAATTTAGAATTAACCACTGTCAATACTTTTTTCTATGCAGGGACTTTTATATAGCTGATCATATTGTTTATAATCTAATATCCTGCTCTCATATCATAAACACTTTTCCCAGGTGAAAGTTTCATACCCACTTTTTATGGTTACTAATATTCTATTATGTGGTTGAAATAATTTAACCATCCCCTTAACTATTCCTTGGACTTTGAGGTTATTTCTCACTTCCTTGCTATTATAAATAATGCTTTAATGAGCACTGTTATCCACGAATTCTCTGCACATTTCACTAGGGCCAGAAGTATGACCACAGGCCAAGCACATTGAGCAGAATGCACCTAAGAAAAGAGAGGAAGGGTCATTTCACACCCCCGACAGTGATGCAAACCCAAAGTTCAAACCCAAAGTTTTAAAATAGCATCATTTAAATTCAATATTCTTGGTGGTTTAAAATCACGATATTTCCATTTGATTATGTGAAAAATCTCAAAGCATCTTAGCCATAATTATAATTTTAGTAGAAACTGGGGCAAATACTTGAATTAAAGTAAACTAAACAGATTTGAGGCTTCATCAATAATATAGAACACAATTTAAAGTCCAGGATTTTTAAGAAATTAAATAAGTAGAAAAGAAAGCTTCTATTAGTTATTAACTAAAATAAAAACATTGATATTGTCCAAAATATGCTAACTTCTTTCTAAAGAAAGTCCCAGGCTGATCCCCTTTTATTGGCTCATCTGACTGACATCTCAATTATTCACTCAAACCACAGACATCTAGCTTTAAAGAGATTATTTGGCATTTCATAATATCATACCTGTTTCTATATCTTCCTAATGTTTTTATAAAGAATTGCTTTTTTCCAGCACCCTGTTACATATATTTAAAAGAAACGAGAATGTTTTCATAGGGAAAAGAGGGAAAGTAACAGATGGATTTACATGTATTTAAATACTCTTATTCTAATCTAAATTGGACTAACACAACATTTTAGTAGAAAGCATTTTACTTAAGTAAAATGCAGTTACTTCAATATCAAATCCTGCATTCGTGTATCTGTTATGAAACTTATGAAAACATAAAGCTTAATAATAAAGGGATGAATCTATAAGGCAGAAGTTCTGGGTGCAGTTGTCTTAAGTTTTAAATTCTCACATTTCACTTCCTTTTTTACAATTGCCCAATCTATTACCATAGATTTTTAACTCCCCCCAAATCTCCCTTCAGCCGCTCCAAGCTTGGGCAAGAAAGATCTTTTCAGAACTGAAATTCCACCACCTTACACCTCCTTCCCCAAGCAAAGCCTCCGAAGCTGCCAGCACCCCCCTCCCCCCCCACCCCACCCACCCCGCCCGCCCCGCCCGCCCCGCATCCCACTACACTCTCCCCGCAAGACGAGCCCCGCTCCCTCCCA